CTCACGTTTTTTCACATACACAAGCCAACTTTCTTGGTGCCCTGGTTGTCTAAATTCATACCATTTGGACAACAAAATGAAAACGTCTTGGGCGTGTGCAAAGAAAGCATACTTTCTTTTATTGGGTTTACTCGTGTCTTATCTTCTGTTCTTTAGATGAAGAAGAGTTGTGTTTTGCTGCTGCGTTGTGTTTTGCGGTTCTGCGCCTTGTCGAGAACGGTCGAGGGGTTTTTTCATGGGTGGTGCACGGGTCGGCGACAGACCGGGAGAACCGAGTTTCGACCTACCTGGCAATAAATCTGATTCGGATTCTGAAATCTGCAAATGAACGTAGATACTTTTTTTACGTACCCACACAGTCCTTCCCGTCAGCGGTGGAGGTGAAGCCCTGGTGACACGCACACAGGTAGGTTCCCTGCAGGTTCTGACAGAAGGCGTGTTCCCCGCATACCGTCTGATTGGCACACTCATCGATGTCTGAGGGAGACAGGAGGAGAGGTGAGCCACTTCCTTTGTCTCTTTCACAATAAAATCACTTCAGGAGAATCGTTTCGTGTGTGTGAAGGGTTGTGATGTGCCGTCAGACTCACCGACACAGCTGCCTGTCGGTGTGACCTGGTAGCCCGGCTCACAGGAAGTGAAGCAGCGGTAAGAGCCAATCGTATTCTCACACCGCTGTGAGCCGCACACTGACCCGCCGGACGAGACGCACTCATCAACATCTGTAAGATAGAGAGAGAGAGAGAGAGAGAGAGAGAGAGAGAATTGTAGTGTTTAAAAGTTCTGCTAACACGTCACGGGAGTTTATACACTAATAATAATCAGGAAATTTTACAGATTAGAGCTTTAATACTGTGTTTTTAGGGTTACAATTAGTTGTTAGGGAGTGTGTGTGTGTGTGTATGTGTGTGTGTGTGTGTGTGTGTGTGTACCGAGGCAGGCGGTCTTTTCGGGGTTGGTGGTGAAGCCGGTTTGACATTGGCACTGGAAGGAGCCTTCAGTGTTCACACAGCGACCGTCCACACACACACTTGGCTTCACACACTCGTCCACATCTACACACACACAAACACACACATACATATGTCGTCGTCATGAGGACGGGCCAAAGATGACATCACCATTACATCAGCTGTATAAGCAGGACCAGAGGAGACCTGAGCTGTGAACAACATGAGGTCTGTTTCCATCGACAGTCACGTCTGTCTGCAAACACTCAACATACAGAACACGGATCAGCGCACGTTACTGACTGAAGACACGTCTTCCATTTTAAACTTTACAGTATTATGTTCACAGAGTCTGTTTAGATTTCCTGGTGGAGTACAGTTCAAGTCCAAATGAAAATGTTTAAATAGACATTACACAGACTTTCATTTATTTCCTGGAAACTTACCCAAATGTTTTTCTATAATTTGTCTTGTTGAGGACAGTTTGACAACTAGAAATAAGGTATGGAGGTGTTTTAATTGCCGGTTTTGGCTCCTGACACCACAGGGCTAAGTTGGCTAACATTACTGTTAGCGACAGTTAGCTTCTTTTAGCAACAAGTCCATCTGGAAACTCCCATAAATCACCTCGGTACCGCTGTCGTCAAACTGTCCTCTGTCTGTCTCTGAGGTTTGTGTTCACTGGGAGGCTGCTGAGCCCCGTTCAGGGCAGCCGGAGGACGTCAGAGGGAAAACCAGACAATATTCTCTGCATTAAATATGATCCAGTTTCACCCAAATCACTGATAAAGTTGTGTGTTTGTACAGTAATCAGTGAGCTCCGCTAACTAACTAATGAATCTTCACCCTGCGTCGCTAAAAGTTGAACATTGATTGACGGGTGAATGTCAGGATATTATTGGTTGGAATCAGTTAGTTCTTGCTGACGTAAGCACGTGTCACATTTTAGTTTTACAGGAAGACACAATGATTGGATTTTAATGTAAAAATACAAAGAAACTGAGTTTTTGTGACATATTTTAGCACAAATTGTTAATTATGTGAACAATATAACTGAGGATGTGATCTTAAAGGGTTCAGTTGTCATTTCACCTGGACTTTAGTAATCTATTTCTTTATTTTTTATTCAGTGTTCGCAGCATCTTTTCACGCACAACAATTTGTTTCCTCCACATTTTCAGTGACTAACCACTGACATAAAACTCAGCTTTGTCCAAAATGGAGATACAGCCTTTGTCCCCAATTAACTGGTCTTTAGTCTGTGTCCCTAAATATAGCCTAAGTCAGACTCACACACATACGCTTTTTCATCGTGAACAGCCTAATTCAACCCCTTACCTTAACCCTGGATAAACATCTTACCCTTAACCCTAACCAGGACCTTAGAAAGACTGCTGGTCCCGACAAGATCAACGTGTAAAACACATAATGTCCCCAACAGGTAACAAAAATGTGCACAAACAGACAGACTCACCGAGGCAGGCGGTCCTGTTGTCGCTCAGTGTAAATCCCTGAGAACACACACATGTGTAGGATCCCACTGTGTTCATACACTCTCCTCTGGGGAAACAGAAATCTCCCTCCAAACACTCGTTAATGTCTGAGCGCGCACACACACACACACACACACACACACACAGTTAACAGACAAACTTTAGATCAATAGTAAAATGTATTTCTCTGCAGTAAGTCGTCAGTGTTGATATTATTCACGTTAATGGTAGAGCTGCCCTCGAATAAACATTTTCTTAGTCGACTAGTTGTTTCATGTTTGAGTGGTTGTTCAACACAGAATAAATAACTTCCAACTTCACTGAAACTAATGCTGACTGATCAATATGATGGATGATGGATAACGTTAACAGACTGACGAAATGTGACTCTTCTCAGCGACTAATGATTAAGTCGACTATTAGGTTGACAGCCCTAGTTACTGTAGACAGTGAACTCACCTCTGCACTGTCTCCCCAGGCCGGTGGTTCGATACCCGGGCCGACAGTCACACCTGAAGGAGCCGACCGTGTTCACACACACACGCTCTGCCTCGCACGCCCCGACACTCGCACACTCGTCTATATCTGCAGGAGAGAGAGAGAGAGAAAGAGTGTGTGTGTGTGTGTGTTGTATGTGTGTGTGTGTGCGTGTGTCGTGTGTGATGGGGCGTTACCTCGAGCAGGTACTCCTGGCTGCTGTATCCGGCCCTGACAGGGACCACAGCGGTAGCGCCAAAAATAGTAGTCACACACTGCCTGACCAGGACACTGAGAGAGCATGCACACACTCGCCACATCTGACACAAACACACACCGAACACACCACACAATCGTGAATAACTTGATATAGCAAATCACTGGATATTGAAACTTGAAGGCTGTGGACAAGACAGGGATGGATGCTTTCACTGAATTCTCACAATATTGTAGTCAAACAAATAAAAGGCTTGGAGATTGAAAAGACGTTGACATTGAAAAGAGTTTCACTAGCCGTGTTACATCATCAAAAGGCTGGATGCTCCCCCTCCTCATTCTTCTCATTCCACTGAGCAGGTTAGAGGATTCTTTGTATAACTTACAGCAAGAATCTGAGGATCTCTTTCATATCCAAAAATAGCTGAAATATGGGGGTCAGCAACCTTTACTATATAAATCTGTCTCGAGCCGCAAAACATATTTTGAGCTTTATGATTCTAATTTCTCACTGCAGATCAAACATGAAAGTGAAAGCTAACAAATCTGACCGTGCACTTTTAAATTCTTCATTTTCCTCCGAGTTGTTTCTTTTTTTGTTTGGATTAAGTGAGAGAGACTCAACACTAGCAGCCACCAGTACTGAGGAGGACAGGCATCAGGTCTGGATGTCACACAGGACGTATTAGTTACCAAAATGTATTTTATTTGATGTGTAATGGCAGCACAGAGGATAGATTGTTCAACCAATTTTGTTGTAACATCTGTGACAATGACAATAAAGAAATTCAGATTCTGAGCAAAAGTTGGAGAATGTGAAATGAAAATGTTAAAAAATTATTAATTTCCATATCATCTTTTGCCACAGGGAGCCACAGAAGAGGGGCTCCAGAACAGCAGGTTTCCTACAGCTGCCCTGATGTAATTAATATTCAATCAATCAATCAATCTCAACGATCAGAATGTGCACCATTATTTTTATTACAATGTGATTTTGATGTTGAAAATTGTTCCTGATGGTGGCGCTAGAGACAAAATATCATCAGGATTCATCCTCTGGGAAGCATGAAAGTCTGCAGCAAATATAACAGCAATCTGATCGCTGGTTATTGATATATTTGGACCAAAATCAGGAAGTATATCTGTGTGTGTGTGTGTGTGTGTGTGTGTGTGTGTGTACCTGCACACAGTCCGTTCACACTGCGGTATCCCTGCTGACAGTCCACACAGCTGTAAGATCCTTCGGTGTTTACACACTGCTGACCAGGACAACGCTCACCGTCCTCGCACTCATTCACATCTATAGAGAGAGAGTGTATCAGTGTGTGTGTGTGTATCGGTGTGTGTGTGTGTGTGTGTGTGTGTGTGTGTACCTGTACACTGTCTGTTGATGAGTGTGTATCCAGGTCGACAGGACATACAGCGGTACGATCCCACAGAGTTCACACACTGCTGACCGGGACACTGAGACGGCTCTGCACACTCGTCTACATCTGAACACACACGATGATCCCGCTCTCATGTCGGAACAGTATATGTGTATATATGCTAGTTAGCTTAGCTTAGCATACAGACTTGAAACGGGTGGAAACAGTTAGTCTGGCTATGTCCAAACATAACAAAATTGGCCCACCAGCAGCTGTGAAGGTGGGAAGTACGAATACTTCATTACTGTACTGAGGTATCTGTTCTTTATGCTTGAATACACTTTAAAAAAACGGCTTGTTACTTTAGTTTTAATGCACTTAAAGGAATTATCGATTTTATTTGTGTATTTTTTTGCACAATTGCATGCCTTCCCAACAAAAAGACTGGTGTGTATCAGACGTGACAGATGTAACATTACCAAAAACAACATAAAAGACGAAACTATTTGAAGCTAAAAAAGCCGGTATAAAGAGAAACCAAGAGAGTTCTTTTTATTTTAATACTGTTTTTAGAGCCCGTCCTTCAACTTTTATACAAGTCTTTGTACTTCTACTGGAGTAAAGAACGTGTGTACTTTTACCACCTTTACTGTGAAGATCACTCTTAAATAACATGTAATATATTGTTTTAAAATGACAATTCACTCTTTACATTGCCGTATCTTCTGTGTTACCTGTACAGGTGTTGTTCTGGAGCTTGTAACCATGGCGGCAGACACAGCGGTAGCTTCCAGGTGTGTTTTCACAGCGACCGTTGGAGCAGGGAACCTGGCGGCACTCATCAATGTCTGCAGACGACCACAACAACATATCAAGGAGCCTCAGTGAAGCATGAATCAGTTGATCATTTCTTAAGATAACGTTGTGTGTGTTGTATTTGAACCTTGCGGGCGTTACTGTGTGCTAATATATGAGATTATAACAATTTATTTCATCATAATCAGATGAAATGCATCATTTAATAGGAATCTGACATTTTGAAAAGTTGTATTCTTTTTCTATTTTCAGCCAAGAATCACAACTATACAGGAACTCTGGTTTAAGAGGATTTTGTTGAGATTAATTTAAGTGTAAATAACTTTATGGCAGAGGTCTGTAAATTAGCTTCTTCTAAAGTTGTTGATTGGAGCAGGTAACAACAGAACAACAAAGTAAATATGATTTTGATGATTAAAACTGGGCAAAAAGTTATTTAAGCAGTTAAAATGGGTTATGCATCTCCATATAACCATATCAACAGTATTGCCATGATTAAATTTCAACTAGAGCTGCACCAATAGTCGATTAAATGTGTGGCATTATTTTATACCTAAAGATGTGGTCAGATAATGTCCTGTAACTTCACTTTAATTCAAACTGAAATGTAGAAGTCATCTTGTCTCTTTGTCTCTGGGTGACTGTCACAACATAAACGCAGTGGACAGCCAGGTGTGTTTACCTGTGCAGAGCCTGTTGAGCAGTCTGTATCCAGGCTGACAGGAGACACAGCGGTACGAGCCCTGACTGTTGATGCACTCCTGACCGGGACACTGCAGAGGGTCCTCACACTCATCCACGTCTGAAACACACAGTGTTTACATAAATTCAGACTATAAGACTTTGAAAAATCTCATTTTACATAATATTTGTCTCAGAATGGTGAAAGAAAAACAAAAACTTTACTTCAGTAATAGCATTTATACAACAGGTAATAGCTAAACATACTAGTCTGGTGGAGAGTGATAGTGATATCACAGCTGTTTGTGGTTAAACT